AGAGGCGAGGAAGGCCTCTCTTCCTGTGAGCCATGGGTGTTGCCCACCGTGCCACCGCCCTGCCACCCGATTACCCTGGAGAATCGAGAGGCGACTACATCAAGAGGCTGTCTGCACCGAGACGCACAGTACCATGCACGCGGTGTAGTTATTTATATCTCCCTAACAGATTTGTCCTATTGTAGGAAAACACAGTCACCAGAACAATGTACTGGAATCATGGCACCATAGGCACATACATTAATACTTATATAAAGGTTTGTAATATGTTTGTGATCGTATAGTCATTCAAATAACAGGTTCGATTAAAGTCGTGACGGGAGCTTTTCCCAACTGTCAGTGCTCGGAGAGGAAGGCGTCAAGATATGGGCCGAGGATTGTTCATCCAGCAGTGGATTGACTGTGGCTGCTGCTGATGATGATGATGGCCTTCATGATTTTCTTGACGCCACGCTCGACATTTTTTTTCTCCAGAAAAGGGCCAGGCGAACGAAGCGTGACATCTTCCTTTCGTGACCGTGATGAAAAAAACAACCCAGTTACAGTATCGCTATCTACCTCGCCGTGTTCCTTGTTAATTCACCAAAGCAGCGACTCCACACCAACTGCAGAGAGTTTAAATAGATTTCCCGGCACCTAAAGCATGGGAGTTTACCCGCACAATTGTCGCCCCATGTCTCTCAGTCATCGACTGACGTCAAAGTAAAACAAAATCAAACGCGTCTCGCCGCTCAACCGAGCCATCTCCATCGGCGGCCCTGAGCCAGGGGTGGAAGTTCCACGTTCCCATGACAGGGGCCAGTTTGTCAGCAAAGAGACCGCTGTTTAGTTGACACAAAGTGGTAGTTATTTTATTGACCGTGGAGGGATGTTGAAGATGATAGGCTGAGTCGATCCTTCGTGAGCGTCCATTGTTAACTCGTGACCCTTCGAGTTCTACAGGGTGGCCCACAAGTCAGGACACAAAAAGGTTATTTTATTTATTTACACTGGCATTACAATATTTGAATGATTTATTATTTAAATTGATTTTTTATCTGTTATTATTAAATGTTCCTATTATTATTATTATTTCTGTGGGCAAATGCGTCATTTACAAATCTCGACCAAGAACCCGGAATGAGTTAAGATGAAACATAATTGATGAATGTTCAAAATGATACAGCTATCATCTTAAAAAATACAAAGTCGTGAGTTCAAAAGAGAATTCATGCATCACGCATGAATATTAATGGGGGTCAGTTTGAACATTTGTTAAAATTAATATAATAACCCCGTGTGTCCTGACTTTAGGTCCACCCTGTACATGAAGCACCATCACCACCGCATTGGTGGCCACGTGGTGGCCAACAGAGGCGCAGTTGCAGAAACGATTATTGTACCTTACTTCTACGCTACCGCGTCTGTGGCCCACCACCTTAACCAACCCGCGCCGACGTTACAGCGTGGTGACGTCTAATAAGGGGAGGCCTCCATCCAGCAGCGGATGGACAAAACGTCCATACGTGGACGCGTACAAGCGCCGCAAAGGCCGGCCGAGTAGGGGTCTGCCCAATTAATTAAATAAACACAGATGAGCAGAGAAACTAACGGCGCTGTCGTTGAAGAAACAACAAAGGCAACAACAAAAACTCGACACGTTTGTTGCCAATGACATGTTGAGAAACGGTGGCCGTTCTTTGTGGTAAAAAGGACCGATTATAAACAGCAGCAGTCGCATCAACGGATCGGGAATTGAAACCACAAACATTCTGAATAACAATTCGTTGCCCGGGCCCCTTATTTTTTAATAACACCGCTAAGGCAGGCGTCCCTATAACCCACGCAACAATTAAAAATAATGTCAATTGTTTACCCAGGAAAGCCTCCACTGATTCTTCTTGAGGCTCATTTTCAGGATCGTCTCCTGGTTCATTGGAATGTTTGGCCCACTCCATGAATGAGAGTCTGGCTTCGTAAGGGAGGACACCGATAGACACCGGAGAAAACCCACCGCGCAATATGAGGAGATAACACTCAACACTGCCATGTGCTTGCCACACCTCGCAGCACCATGCCCACAACTCCTGGGAATCCCTGGTGGTCAACCATGTCACGTGAACCCATTTAATACGACGTATGCCGATCCTTCGATACCAAAGTTGTCGTGAGCTCGAGTATCGATATTAAACGATAAATTATCGTACTCCTGACCGCTAACGTAACATTTAAAACCACGTCGGTTAACGCAGAGGTGAAGCCTCATTGTGGAATCACGTGCGTGCGTCATGACCTTATGACGTTAAATAAATAATAAAGATCCGTAATTAAAAACGACGAGTAAACTGATCAATAACCAACACTTGCGGTTGAATGCATTTCAAATTTCAGATAATATTGATTCATATTATCACGTCTCTGCTTAAGTTTTGGCAAAATCAATTTTCCTCGATCGACGCTCATTCGCAGGCGATCACCTTCACCCGTACATTTCGGCGCGGCGTCCGACTTGCGATCTTTACCGCTCTCGTGCGTGGTTAGAACGCAGCCGTCACCTCCTGGTGGTGCGCGTTGGGCGTGATGCCTGCCGAAGGGCCGTAGGTAAATATCACCCGTCAAGTCCACAACAAGTTGAGGAGTTCACTCCCCCAGCCACACGCACCACGTGACTTCCCAAGCACCACGCCACTCTCCACGCACCACCTGACTCTCCACACACCACGTGACTTCCCACGCACCACGTGACAACCCACGCACCGCCTGACAACCCACGCACCGCCTGACTCCCCACGCACCGCCTGACTTCCCACGCACCGCCTGATTCCCCACGCACCACGTGACTTCCCACGCACCACCTGACTTCACACGCACCACGTGACTCCCCACCTGGGCGTGTTGTTGGAATCGAGCCGGTTACAATCCGCCGAGCCGCGCCGCCGGGGCCGTGCTGAGCCAACCTGGCATGGCTCAGCAGGCGCTGTGGGTAAGAACCTATCGTCTCTGTTTCACCAACACTAGCATCAGCTGCCTTGATCTAGCCATTGCTGAATGAAGGCCTCTTAAGTCTCGGGCAGAATAATTAATTTATCGCCAGATCCAGGCAACGACATGGATTAGAATAATAATCGTTGGTGTGGATCATATAATTTTACGTGGTACGCTCCGAGTCGATGGGTATTGAGAAGTCCGGATAATCGATGTGCGGATGAGAGGACCTCCACTCAATAGGAGTTGATTTTTCTTTTCATGCAGCGGAAATTGAAGTTCACTGCACACGAGATGCCGGTTCCATCTTGGCCGCCACTCGGCCATCGGATTTCTGAGCTGCCAGCGATGGTTTCGGATCGACAGGCGTAGTAATTATCATCATTATAATTATAACAATAATCGCTAGCGCCGTGACGCACCTCCGATTAGGACGGTTGGCTGCGTACGGTACGAAAGCAGCTCGACAATCGTGCTGCGTACATGGTCCTTCACAGCCGGAGGAAGCAAAAAGAATACGAAAAGTAACAAAAAGCAACGGCGCGATCAACGTGAGCGGCTCACGGCCGCCTGCCGCAGCGGGGCAGCGGCGTCGTGTTCACGGCGGCGGCGATGACACCGCGAGCGCTCAACCACAACCGGCAGCGGCGTCTCGCGTAGCGAGCGTGGCTCCCTGCGTCCACAGCACGGTCCGTCCCTCCGTTCCCTGAGATCGCAGTCAGCTTACCTTACACGTGTAACACCAGCCGTGACCTTACACGCGTAACCCCAGCCCTGACCTTACACGCATAACCCCAGCCCTGACCTTACACACGTAACCCCAGCCCTGACCTTACACGTGTAACCCCAGCCCTGACCTTACACACGTAACCCCAGCCCTGACCTTACACGTGTAACCCCAGCCCTGACCTTACACGTGTAACCCCAGCCCTGACCTTACACGTGTAACCCCAGCCTGACTTACACGCATAACCCCAGCCCTGACCTTACACACGTAACCCCAGCCCTGACCTTACACGTGTAACCCAGCCCTGACCTTACACGTGTAACCCCAGCCCTGACCTTACACGTGTAACCCTAGCCCACGCTGAGAGGTCAGCAAGGTCAGGATGTTTAGCCTGGGTTTGTTTTCGTTTCTCAAGGACACTCCGCCATCCACGCGGCCACAACGCTCCGTCACAAGCCACCGCGTCGTGCCACGTGGGCGATTCTTTGCCGGATAAAATTCCGCTCTGATTTGCAATCGCCGTTGTGGATTACCGTTCTTTCACGGTCGTTAGTTTCGCCCCCGGATTTGGCAATCGGAGCTCGCGGTAAAATTACCGGAACAATTGCTTTCCATCGCGTCCTCTTGAGAGCAAAACAAGAGCAAGACATTCACGTTACCAGATCGGGGTTATGGACATAGTTTTCACAAAGCTGGAATCATATTTAGCCGGTTTGGGTCTGACCACAGCACCAATTGCAAACGCAAAGCCTAACAGATGCGCCGGTCACAATGTGATTCAAACATCGGTTCCAATCTTTGACACCGTGATTAATGTAGCGGCCTCTAGTGGCTGGAGGGGTCAAATGAACCCGTGGACATACAGCAGATAAGGAATTGTGGATTCTTACGCTCGTGATTGGACGCATGCAATTGTGAGCCTTGAGAATGACCGTCAATGTTGAAGGGATTCATCGTTACGCCCCAACACCGCCACCGCGGGCACGCTTTATATCGACGTAATTCAACACGTTCGACAAAATCTTAAATATACGCTGCCAAGCTTGGTGGTGTTCATTCAGACGCTGTCTTTCCGACAGACCTGTTCTTCACCTGAGGACGGCTGCTTGCGTTGTGGCCGAAACATCGTGAGAACTGTATTTTATGTTTTATTTTTATTATTTTATTATTTCCCTTCTACGTGACTTTACTGAAAGAACCAAGAAGATGAAAAGCACTGCCCATCGAAGAAAAGAAGAAGGTAGCAAGCAAGATTCTGTGGCAACGCCTCTGCCAGAGAGACGATCTTTCCCGATGTATTTGTTCCTCCTCAGGGCAGCGTTATTCCGCCGTTGCGCTTGTGCGCCACTGCCAACGCAGCGCCGCGGGTTTCCCAGAGACAAAATGTCACGCGGCGCGCTTCTGCCGAGCTCCTCCAGACGGGACTCTCGACGCAGCGCTCCGCGCACCTTACAGGACACGAGTCCATGACCCCTGGTACCACGCCGCTGAACAGAGACATGGTCATCTCACCGGGCCGTGGGATGGAAACTGTGGCTTCGCAGGACCCCCTTCCCCCCGTGACGGATTCAAAGTTAAATTAAGCACCGTTTTACAACGTTTTAACGACGCCTTTAAAGCCGGTAAATTCTGTAAAAAAAAAAATATTCCATCCATTTTACGAGCGGTAAACTGGGATTCTCGCTCGCTCTCAATAAATGCCACCGTTTGATTGATTGGCAATTTTATATTTTGTTCCACATTCTTTCTACACAACCACGTAAAAAAAAACACCAATGGCTCACCACAAGTTAATTAAAAATGCAACTGGGGGAGAGTGGAGGGAGGGTGGAGGGTGACATAAATAAATAAATAAAGCACAGTTCTTGGGCACTGCCGGTGCAGGCTAAAGTCCCAGCTGACACGTTGGCAGATGTCCCCATTTTCACGCGGATTTTGGCAAAAAGCGTCGCCGGGGAAGCGCCCCCGTCGCCAAGGCCGTGACGCGGCGTCGGCGGCGGCACCGCCGCGGCTACGGGTCCCGCGCGGAGTTGGAGAACATGTGCTCGTTGTATTCGGACGACTCCTCGGGATCTGCCCGGGGATGCGGAACCCGAGGGCGGCGATGTGGTCCAAGGCCCGCTTGGGCGTGGACGTGGCGAACGCGACGGGCGGCTCGGGCCCCCCCCGACCACCACGGGGCAGCCGGTGCGCTGCAGGAACTGGAAGAAGTTCTCCTCCACCGAGCCGTGGCTGGACGGTCCCGGCGGCTCGTCCCTGGGCCAGGGGCCGGCGCAGCGGCACCGCGCCAGCTTCTTGAGCTCCTCGCGGATCTGCCGGTTGAGCCACCCGTAGAAGAACGGGTTGATGGAGAAGGAGGAGTAGGCGAGCCACGTGACCAGCGTCTCCGCCGACTCGGTGTCGCCCCGCCGCCCGCTCGTCGCCGCGTGCAGGTGGTAGGCGAAGTGCGGCAGCCAGCACACCACGAACTGCCCCACCAGGATCGCCAGCGTGACGGCCGCCTTGCCGCCGCCGAAGGCCCGCTCGGGCGAGATCCTGGCGGGCGGGCCGCCGCCGCCGCTCGCCGACCGGCGTTGCCCGCGGCGTCGCTCACGATGGTCGTCTGGCTGTTGAGCGACACGGAGCGCTGGCGCGCGCCGTTGGTCCACGAGGGCAGCGGGCCCTGCTGCAGCGCCGCGATGCGCGCCACCTTGAACACGCTGCAGTAGACCACGGTGACGATGAGGCCGGCACACGAAGCAGAAGACGCTGAACACCACCACGAACACGTTCTTGTACTCGCCGTCGCTCCAGTAGAGCGAGCAGCGTGCCGCCGGCGTGGCCGCAGTGCCGTTGGCGGGCCACGGCGCGTCGGGGGTCGCGCGCCAGCCCAGGAGCGGCACCACGGAGGCGAGGCCGGACTCGACCCAGATGAACGCGAGCACGGAGACGGCCAGGCCGGCGCCCACGCGGCCCTCGTAGCGCATCGGGTGCACGATGTAGTAGTAGCGCTCCACCGAGATGGCCGACACGGAGAGGATGGAGGCGCTGATGAGGCACACGTTGAGGAAGACGTGCGCCTTGCAGAAGACGTCCCCCTCGCCGACGGGTGGCCCGCCGAGCGCGAGCGACACGGGCCGGCTCGACGCGATCGCCATGGGCATGAGCACGGTGGCGGAGAGCAGGTCCACCACGCACAGGTGCAGCACGAAGATGAACTTGCGCAGGGGCGGCGCGCGCAGCAGCACCACGAGCAGCGCCAGGTTGCCCAGCAGCGCGGCGGCGTTCAGCAGCGCCGAGAAGGCCAGGCCCACCGCGTCCCAGGCGCGCACGCCCTCCATGCCGCCTGGCGGGGGACGCACGCCCTCCATGCCGCCTGGCGGGGGACGCGCTGCTGGTGCCGAGGCTCGGAGAGTCTCGCGTTCGTCTGCCGAGGCGATGCGCGAAGGGACGAATGAGCGAACGAGAGAACGAGCGAATCAGTGAATGAGCGAATGAGTGAACGCGCGAACGATGGAATGAATGTCGATGACGACGCCGCGACGGAACCTTTCGAGAGGCAGCAGCGTTCGCACGAAAGTCTCGGTAGCAAGTTACTCGTAGGAGGTAGTTGCGTCGATTTTACGCGATTGCACCGTATTCATTATTTAGCGGCCGAACTCTTCTTATCCGTGCCAAAGAGGGGTTGCGGGCTTTTTCTGGCCCGACTTGCGATCTGACAATAACCACCGGGAACCTCTCACTGCGAGGAGACTTCCAAGCCCCACAGGGGCCTGGCTGGCAGCCAGAATTGTAGGAGGAAGTGGGGGGTCGTGTGCGAGCTCACAAAGCGGCACGAGCCAGGGACTCTGCAGGGCTATCAATGGATTCATAAATTATGTCACGTGTATTCTTATTATTATTTATCACTTCAGATCAATAAAAGAATTTCAATGGCTTTCTTTACCGCTGCTGGCCGAAATGCACTTTGCAAACGAACTAAGATGATAATAATAAAACTAAATTAATATCCTCTGTTGTCCAAACATCATTAACTCTTCGTGAAATGTAATCGTGTGTTAAATAATGAGCAGAGATGTGTTCACAATGGCACTTCGATGCAATTAGCCGTTCCTATATTTACACGGCGTGTCTCACACGTGGTACCCAGTGGATATTTCACGGAACTGATTAGCGTTATTATGCAACGCGGAAGGTGCCGTTTTCGGTCACCTAAGAGAGGCCCTGCCCTGGATAAGACACACGTGCAACGCGTTGATTGAAAAACCCAGAGACAAGGCGGTTCGAATCCTGTGGGCTGCCCCGGTCACTACTGCGGATGGATTAACTGAAAATACAGTGGGCACTTAAAAATCCCGTGAACCCATTGGGATTTGTGCAGGGCATTGCCTGCCGGCGTCGCGGTCCAAATTTGCCAAATCTGGAAAATCACTCGAAAATTGCCTAATCTGGTAAAACCACAGTGCCACTGTGATAGCCTTGCGCTATCAGAATGGCACGAATACCAAACGTGTTAATTACATCACCACCACCACCACGGAGAGAAATAAACGGACTTAGGAGATGCATACCCACCGGATGGAATTGCCGTCGTCTTGACACTGCCACACCGAGTGACGTCGTCGTTATTAAGTGATGTCGGCGGTGCAATTGTACCGGGGCCCAAGTTGCCCAGAGGGAATTTTGGGAGAGTGGGAGAGGGGCGGGAGGGAATTGGACAGGGTGGGGGCCACATTTCATTCCTGGCACCAGGAGCCGTGCCAAGCACGATACGCCACTTGAGGCACTGTGGCATCAAGACGCGGGCACAGGAATGGACCCCCTTCTCGAGGGTTCCACCAGAGAGCAGGCACGCAACGAGGGAGGTGTTGGAGTGGGTCCCGCACCACCCAACCTGTCCTTTGGCCCAGCCAAGCTCACTCTCCCCAGCACACTGGACCCCCCCATACTTAACCTCGACTGTCGCCCCCCCGTCCCCCCCCCCGCCCCATCCAAGGGGAGCCACAGCCGGGCCTGCCAAAGATGTGGCGCGGTGGTCACGAACTCTCCGACGCATGACGCACACAACGGCGAGGCAGCGGAGCGAGCATGGCTGGCGGCGCTCACCGTGGCCGCGTGCGAGCGGAGGCCGCGGGCGGCGCGCGCCTGCCGTGACGTATCCGCCGCGGCACCGCCGAGACTCGGGGGACGGCGGCGGCGGCGGAGGTGGAGGGCGCTCGGCGACTCGCGCTCCGATCGCCCGCGGGGTCCGGCGAGCGACGGCCAGGCCCAGGCATGAGAGGCGGAGCAGGGCGACCTGCGGATGCAGCGGAGGGCATCGGCGGTCACCGCGCGTCGACGAGGAGGAGGGGAAACGTCGGCGGGTGCTCGAGCGTGCCGTGGGCCCGGTGGATGGCTCGCGGCCCGTCACCCCGCCGGTGATTTCTCACACGGAGAGAGACGCGGACTCGCGCGGAGACCCGTAGACTCGCTCGCGCTGCCCGCCGTGGTGAAGTATGGACGAACAACGCCCCGTGGCCGAGAACGGCGAGATCACTTTCATCCGGCAGTGGATTGACATGGGGCTGCGAGTGATTGCAGATATCCTCTAGACACGCTCACTGTGCAGCGGCTATGCCTTTAGTTGACTCTTCACATCTGCTCCGCTCAAGTGGAGCGGATGAGATGTTTAACCGGGATGCGAAGTGACGGGTAATTGTACGTGTCATAATCATACACGTACCACGCACACACATCCACACAGAGATTCCCCCGTACAGCCTCGAAAGGCTGTTGGGGCAAGTGTTGTTAGCGAGCGCCTATGAAAGCCAATATGGCACACGATGGGGTAGGTAGCCAGCATCACGCCCGACCGCCTTTGTCTCCCCAGTGCTGATATTTTCCAGCTGCACCAGGTATTTCTTCCTGCCTCAGCAGTCCGCCTGCTGTATTTTTTCACCTGAAGACGATTACTTGTGTTGCGAACGAAACGTCGTGATTGATTATTATTTATTATTTTTCTATCTACGTGACTTTACTGAAAGACTCAAAGAGTATGCACCAGGGAGTAATTTAAGGTTGAGTCGTCCTAGAGAAAGCCCACAACTGCCTCAGATAATCGTTACCAATGTTGGCTGTGAGAGGGAATCGAACTTGTGTCGCCGGGTTCGTAGTGCAGCGCGCTAACCGCTACACCGCCGTACGCACAGCAGGGCAGCACACATGCCACGGAGAGGTTAGTGGCCGGCGTGTGAGTTGTCTTGGTCAACTCAGCCTTAAATGAGTACCTGGTGCGGTATGTGTTCAACAACAGCACCGGGGAGATAAAGGCGGCCGGACGTGGCGCTGTATTTGTGTGTAAATGCAGCCTTAGCTACACACGCACACACGTTGAAATAGGCTAACGGGTAGGTGCGTATCCTGAAACGTCGAGTCTATATAACCCTCTGTCGTCTATGCAGATAAGATTTGCATTTGTATCGCATTACAGTACTGTAACATAGTCTTCATCATCATCATTAGCAATGATCAATCAACTGCTAGATGAAGGCCGTGCCATTGCCACCCCGATGCAACGAATCCACCTCGAGCCCCTGCACACGAGACGATGTCATCGCTCCGTCTCCACGGTAGTGGTGGGGGAGCTCCTCACTCGGACGAGTTCCATCCCCCTCCACCACGTTCACATCCCTTGCGGTGCATTTTTATATCAGTTCAAGCGCTTCGGTGGCGCCTGCGATGCAATTGACATGCAAATGAATTCACATCCAAATGAATTCACATACAAATTAATTCACATACTAATTAACATACAAATGATTTCACATACAAATTCACATACCATGGAATGCACATACAATTTCACATACTATTTAATTCACATACAAATACACGCACAAATAAATTCACGTAAAAATGAATTCACATACCAATGAATTTACATACAAATTCACATACAAATGCATACATATACGAATTCGTGTACAAATGAATTCACATACAAATTCACATACAAATGAATTCACATACAAATCCACATACAGATTAACATACAAATGAATTCACATCCTAATGCACGCGCGCATCGGAAATGCGTTACAACGCTGTCGCGCCTACCATGGCACGCAATTGCGTTGAGTCCACGTCCCGCACAGATTGAACGCAATTGCGATACGTGGTCATGCTCGGAGTAAATGCATTGCCCAACAATGTATTTACTCGTATATAGAGAAATGCATCTCGTATAGAAACGCAAGGACGACGACACATGTTAAACCTGTAACACCATCAGTCGCGACCGATCCACTGCTGGATGAAGGCTTCCCCTCTCTCCAAGTGGTCGCCATCTCACAGTTCTGCGATGGAACATTTCGACCGAGCGAGGGCCTGGACATCTGCGACAAAGGAGCTTGAGAGCTCTTCGGATTCTTCCGGTAAAAATAAAAACAACCTCACTCTGACCTGGATGGTCGCCGATTTCATGGCTCCATCTCCCGCGCGGCCGTGCTCTCTCTCGGACGCGTTCCCTGCCTGTAGGTTCCCCGGTACAGGGAATAGTGCGTAAATGCAATAACGCTGAGTAATCTTGCACGTTGAATCCACCGTTTTACACGATTGCAACAGCACTAGCTACGTGGCGGCAGTGTGTGTGTAACGCGATGTGTACGCGGGCCGGGTTCGCGTGCTGCAGAAACGTCTTGAAGCACCGTCGTCATTAACATCATCATTAACATCGTCATTAACATCATCATTAACATCGTCATTAACATCATCACCGCCATCGTCGTGAACACCTCCGTTGTCGGTGCTGCAGCAGGGTCGTTGCTTGACGATCCCATCCGAGTAAGAAATCAGACCAACGATTCGCACCGATTCTCTCTCGCAGGAGCAAGCGAAATATCAGCTCTCATTTTAAATGAGAGAGAGAGAATACATCTCTAACATACTACTGGAACACGTGGGTTGTTGTTGTTAGCGAGCTTCTATTAATGTCCGAACGGCGCAACGAGGCCATGGTGCGGTCAGAAACCACGCCCGGCCGCCTTTGTCTCCCCAGTGCCGACGTTAAAGACCGGTTCCGATATTTGCCCGCGATGTCATCCGAGGCCGGGAATGGAACCCCGGCGGCCGGGTTGGTAGCACTGCGCGCTCATCGACGACTCCCTATTACACCGCAGTACACACACACACACGTTTAGTCCGCGTATAATGAGATACATTACCCAGCAGCGGGCACGGCGAGCGTGTGTTCCTTGAGATGCCGGGTATTGAGCGTCTTGGGATGAGCCGAATCGTGCGCGCGTGAGCAGAGCGCCCGCGTGGGTGTGAAGACGCGCGCCTCGCTCCGCCTGATCCGCGGTGTCCGTGCCCCGGTCCCCGCCTCGTCTCGCCG